TTAAATTGCTTTTTAAAAACAGAAAGTGAAAGAAATAAATAAAAAAAAAATAAAATAAAAATATGAAGAAAATTAAGTGAACGTACTTTAAGTATATAATAACAAAATTTTTTAAATACTTAAAATATTAGATAAAAATACTTTTAAAAATTTGGAAAAAAAAAAGGATTAAATTAAAGAATCCTTCAGTTAATGTGTTCTTTTTCCTTTCAAATGCAAAAAGTTTGGCATTTTTCACTCTTTTCTTTTTCTGGGTTAAAAGTAAAAGTGAAATTAAAATTAAAAGAAATGCGCATAAATAAAAATATTAGATGGTTAGTAATGTTTGGTTGGAACGTAAAACTATGAGGTGATTGAACAGAAGTGGGTAATAATGAGATATATAACTGGTATAACTGGAGATAGCGAGTTAAGAGATAGAGATTCGTTGTTGTGTCTTGGGTTGATCTTAAGTTTAGAATTAATTGGAAAAAAGTATAAAGTTAATGCTTACAATCATTCATATCGTCATTGGATCTCATTATGTACTGATCCGATGATGATAGTCTTGAATGCCCGTTCGTATTGGGATGAGCTCCCCCCCTATGATCACTTTGTTTTATAGAGCTACGCATCGCCAGTGCAGATGGATTGTTCGACTGATGCATATACATACTATCACCTTCGCACTCACTTTCTTTATACTGCAGCACATTCTTATGCTTCTCATAGATAACCAGGCAACGATGACATCCTTTCCTAAAAAAAGTTTGTATTTTGGTTTTTTGGTTTTTTTGTTTATGTTTTTGGATTGCAAATGAAAAGTTCATGTATTTTGTATTTGTTTTCTTTTTTGTTAGGATTGTAAATGATATATGTTAATAAAAGTTTATTTTGTGTTTATATTCGCGAAAAAAAAATCTTTTGGCTTATATTTCTGATCTGTTGTTGCGTTCGACATTGAATGCCAAAAGGAATATGTAAACCAATACTTTTCTAAACTTTAAGTTTGGAAAAGTATATATAATATGGATGCGAGTGTCCCAGAGTTATTAAAGAAATGTTACATCTTATATATTTGTTTTTTGATAATCCCAAAAACTGAATTAACATGTAATATATGTAGTATATGCATATATACTATGTGTGTGTTATTTTAAAGCCAACCCAGTTTCGATGTGGGCTAAACTATATTCAATTGGAAGCTAAATATATGTAGATTTGGTAATATTGTTGAAAACTTAGAAATGATATCATAAAAACGAACTAAAAGGACGCACACTTAAATAACTTAAACAGTTAACAAAATATATGTGATGTTTAAAAACAAATCTGTAAACATTTTAATTGAATTTTTTCAAAATCAAAATAGATGTAGATTATATATATTGTTTTTTTTTTTGTTTTGTTTTTTTTTTTATGCAGTTTGTGGGGAATTCCTAGTTGATAGATGGTACTTAAATCTATTTGATTTCTTTTATATATATTACGATAAAAAGTCGAAAGTTAAGATTATGGAGTACACGACAAAAATACTTACAAAAACATTAAAAATAATATTCGAAATATCAAATAGATGTTAAAAGAAACATCATACCGGGATTTCGTTTTTTTTTTTTTTTTTTTTTTTTTTTATATATATATCAAAAACCAAAAGTTTATACACATATCAGCTACAACCAAAAAATAAACTTCGCAAGACTTATGATTATTTCTTAAAGTTTAATGTATTTATACATATAGTTTAATTAGAAACATGACAAAACGCAAAAGTTTCAAAAAATCATTTGTAAAGTAGCAGCCCAGCATTAATGTCTTTTGGTTGTTCTTAATATATTAAAAAAATAAAAAAAACATTCAAAATGGAAACAGCTTCTCTTGATTTTTTTAAAATTATTATACAAAAAGCAAAATAGATGCAGATTTCGAGGTACTTTAACCTTTAAACCTATAAAAAAATAGATATCATTTAGATTAACTTTACAGCACTACCAAAAAAAAAAAACATATATGTATATATATATACAGTTAAATTGGCTTGATTCAGCGTTGAGCCTGCGCGCTCCGTCAGTCACACGAAGACAGAGAAAAAGACAGAAACGAAGAGAAGGAGAAAGACAACGAGAGTTGTACAAACTCGTTCCATAGGCAAAGTTAACAGCAGATGTCTCAATGGACAGGTTTGCAGTCTGCTCTAATATATCTAACTATGCCTCTGCCTGTGTCTCTTTGACTCTGTGTGAGAGCAACTGGCGCCAATGTTGCAGCGTTTGATGTTCCTACTTAATCGGTTTACAGCTACACTCAGAGAAAAAGTAAACTCTCTTCACTTACTTAAAGCGATATGTTCTTTTAAGGAATTTGAATGATTTTCATACCCTGGAACCAGTGGCAGAACTTTTTAAAATGTTGATAGATATATCGCTCAAAATTAAATTGAAGACAAAATCCTCTTTATAAATATCATATTGAAGAAAAAAAAATGATCATCATTAATTATCATATTAAAAAAATTAATTTTGCTTTTAAGTTGAAGTTAATTTCTTACTTGTTTTTCCAGACAGCTGTCTGGCTTTTCTCTGAGTGTATTGCTACTGCCTGCTGCTAGCCTACCGACTGTTTGAGTATGTCTGGTGCCTTAGCAAAACGAAACTTTATTCAATTATTGCCACTTGGCGCACACTCAAAAGTCAAATGCTACAAAACGTACCCGAAAAAATAAAAGCGAAATAAAAAGGAAAAAAAAAAAATAGGTAACATAACCTACAAACAGGAAATAAAAACGTCGAGGGGAGCTACGACAAGCTACAGGCAGTACAAGTTTAAGTACAAGTGCTTTTTGACGCCTGTTCTCCTTTATCGGCTACTTCATCAGCTGCTTTCATCTTCATCTGTTTCATCTAGTTCATCTACTTGAGCATCTTCAACATCTTTCTTCATTCTTTTTTCTTCTTCTCATTTTCATTCAATCTTTGTATTTACCAGCCAAGCATATTTTGAGCCAAAATGTTAGCATATATAAACTTTTATCGGTGAACTGTATTTGATGGTACTTACTCATCCACAATCAGATATTTGTTACCATCATAGGCGGCGCACCTGCCCCGGTAGCTGAACTGTGAGCCCTTAATGTGGATGGATTGCTGGTAGCCAGATAAAAACCAGGAGCCCTCCCATCGGGCAGGAAACGTGCAGTTTGTAGGCGCTGCAAGTCGAAAAAGTATGCAATTTATTAATAATATCAAACCAAATAAACCAAAAGCCAAACGCAGTCGAATAAATTATTTATGTAGATTTTAATAGCCACATGCATAAGTGAGTTATATACTTAAATTCCCCAATTCTGAATCTGGGTTTGTGTGTGTTGGGTGTGAGTAGCATGTGACCTCAATTGTGGTCCATTGTTCATTTAACGACACCAACAACAACAACACAAATAACAAGAAAAGCAAGCTGCACCATAAAAGAGCAATTGTTCAAAAAATATATTTTAACAATATTCAAGTAATGAAGAAAAATGTATAGCCCAATAGAATCGACTACCGAATACTCTACTCGTAGTTGCAGGTATTAGAATTTGTTCGGCTGATTGCTTGACTGATGACAGTGCTAATAGGAGCTTGATAGGATTAATGTCTGTTTGGTTGACTGAGCGATATATTCATTGAATGACTTACCGATTAAATGAATGATTCCTAAGGGCAAACTGATAGTAAACTAATTGAATACCGACTTGATTCACTAACTTGGTTGATAGGTTGATGATCAAAATAATAACTTGATTGATCGATAAGTTGTTTGATTGACTGTCTGATAATTAGCTGATAGATTGAAGATCTGACTGTCTGACTGATTGGCTGACTAATTGATTAATTGATTGATGAGCACCGGTTAAACATGAGAGCTAGAGACTCAAGTAAAACAAAAACGAAATAAAAACCAATCTACCCTCTATCAGCTAACGGTATAGAGTATAACAAATTAGAGTCTTATACCTAACCAAAATAAATAATGCCATTGTTCGCAGTCTTCGTATTTCTGTTCTAATAGTAATGTCAATTCTGATGCCAAGATTTGTGGCTTTTTAATTTATAAATTGTTTCAATTATTGTTATTATGATTGTATTTAAGTGCGTGCGCATAAGTGTCAGCTTGCCATAGTGTGTGTGTGTGCTTGTATATATATCTATATATATGTATGTGTGTGAGTGTGGCTCTTAGAGACTAAAAATTTACGACCCTCTGCCACGACGCAAGGGCTCATAAATAAGTTGAACAAGCAGCAAAACCAGAAAACGGCTCGTAATAATAATAATGTCGCACACAGACATAGAAATATACATATATATAATGTATACACATATAAAAACTACCGAAATGGCAATTGTGAATATTAAAAAGAGCATAGAGAGAGAGAGAGAGAGAGAGAGAGAGAGCGAGAGAGAGCATGGAACAAGCCAATGCATAGAGTAAGGCAAACGAAAAAGGAGCCTTTAGCTTAAGGCATGCCACGCATACTTACATACACACACGCAAACACACACACAACACAAACAATAAGTATAGCCAATGCAATACATACAAACGCACACATACAAGGCTAGAAAATGGTAAAACCACCCTCGAATAGCTTTCTGCCAGWGTTGGGCTGGGCTGGGCTTAAGGGTGGACCCAAAAAACACAACCGAAGCCGAGTGCTATACGCATTCAAATGCACAAAAGTCGCAAAAGTAGAGACGAATGTGCGCACGAATCAACACACACACATAGACACAGCACACACTTACAAACACAACACACACACTCACACATACATACATCAAGCTATACACATTTTATTTTATTATTTCTTTGCTTTCTTTTATTTTGTTTTACTTTACTTTATTTTATTTTACTTTTTGCTTTTCTTTTGTTCTTTCCCATTTCCATTTTTTTTTCCTTTTTCATTTTGTTGTTTTTCACATTTGTGGCAAACAAAAGGTGCTCCTGCGCAGGATCAGCGAATCGCTGTGAACTCTGAGCCTCATTGAGAAGCCGCCCGTCCGCCCGTCCGCCCGCTAGCTCACTCCGCCTCGCCTCTGCTCCAGGTCCCCCTTTTCGCTGACTGTTTCATTGTCCAATGACTTGTACATTTGTTCAGCTACCGATGCTGTTGTTGCGGTAGCTGTCATAATGTGTCCCCCTTTTTCTCTCTCTCCCTCCTCTATCTCTTTCTTTCTCTATGTGCTCGCCCACTCACGCACAGTGGGCGTGTGTGTATATAAAGTGTAGCATACTTTGCCGTGCGACCCATTGTAATTGTTTCGCCAATTTCAAGTGCCGTGCATAATGCTCCAACATGATTCAATACTTTTGCTAGCAACAACATAGCTGTCTATGGCAGCAGCAGCTACCCCCGATATATAGCCGCAGGACAAAAATCCAGCCAAACTACACGCTTAAAGTAAAAATACAAAAATAAACCAATGGACGGGTGGACGAAAGGACGAACGTTGGAATTGAGAGACAGACAAGCGTGCAAATACGTATGGACATGAAATGAAGGGCGCATGCATGCAAATATTTTATTTTTTTTGGATTACAATGGCTCAAGTACGCAGCACCGCCTGTTAGATTGGGCCTGTTGGATTGGCAAATATTAAAGTAACTCGGAAAAGAGTTGCGATTGGCATTTTAGTCTTATCAACTGACAGTAATCGCCTGGCGTTAGGCTTGTATCGTGGCTGTAAGACCCTTATCAGCCACATTAACGGTGTTTTCTAAAGCATTTATGCGAAGAAAGGAAGCTGAATTTGTACAAGCAAAGCTTTATGTCTTGGACCTTAAAGAAAGTAAGTACAACTATGGTTGTGTTTCTTTGCCTAATCATAAACAAAAGCCAGGGATTTGGCCCGATACAAATTTTTGTATTTTTTGAATCATTAATTAATGAGTGAGATTGAACAACGCAATATTTATATATCCGATAAATCTCTCCCAAAAATATATTTCCATGACTTTCTACGGGATTCAACTCATGAGTCAGTGAGAAGTTATATTTTTGGGTTTTAAAAGTCTAGTAGAAACCAAGTTGCAACATTGAAGTAAAGAACTTTAGCCCTGCTATAACTTGATTTCCTGTTAATATAAATATTGCAGCTAGGCTTCTAGTGAAAATAATTATCCTCCATCAGAAAACACTTAATTGGTTCAGCCACCTGCCAAATGTTACTTATTATGACAGGCAATTTTTCATTGTGGACCTATAAGCAGTTGTTAGGCATGTGTGTGCTTATCTCTCAACGACTGTGTCTAGATATCTGTAGTGTAATGACAGCTTTAACGCGCTAACAGCTCCTTAACCCAATTAAAACGCCCCCACTCCACTTCCGCAACCCTCGTGTGCCCTGCACCTTCTGGTGGGTGTGGACCCATTAAGTGCTTGGCGTTGAGTACTATCAGGGCGCTATGCTGGACCACCCTTATTGATGGGACAATGGCTACGTAGCACACACAAACGTGGAACTCACATACTCACACGCATACACACACACACACACACACACATGTAAGGGCAGCTCAAAGAGCATGACGCTTCGTTTTAGACTCATTTGCGTTTGCATTTGGAATTTTGGACTTTCGTTTCGGTTTTGCTTAGCAAACGCAAGTAGGGGTAGTAGGGGTAGTAGGAGGTAACAGATAGAGCGTTGGTGGGGTGTACGTAATGCCCGAAAATGCTTTTGTCTAACTTGAGTGAATTATGGTCAGCGGTCGGTGGTCGGATGGCGGTTGCTGCCTGTTTGTTTCGGGCAATTTCCGTACAATTTGCCATTTGTTGTTGTTATTGTTGCTTCTGCTGCGGCGGCTGTTGCCGTTGTTTTCTTATTGTTTTCAACCAAAACAAAAAAAAAATTGTTTTTTTTTTTTTGTATACCCTGTAGTCATTGATGACAGATAAGTGTATATTATAATGTGAATGGATGAAAGCCGACATACGGATAATCCAATAATATCATCAACGATAACTATCGATTGATAGCCAGGAATTATAAATATATAAGACAAGAGATTAAATAATATCAAAATAAAAGGATAAATAAGGATTTATAGAATATGTTCTTTAAGCAGATCTTCAATTCTATCAGATTTACGGAATATGTCTGAATAGATATAAATATATGCCAAACCTAAATACTTAAATCGGATATGTACTCATTATCTGTGAGTCCTTGAATGTATATTAAGCCACTTCAAATGTAATTGCGGGGTAACTCCTAGTCAGACATCAATGACTAAAGTACTCTTACTTGTTATACCCTGAACCCATTTTCAATGGGAAATCAGGGTATAATGGTTTTGTTGAAATGTATGTAACAGGGAGAAGGAGGCGTGGCAGACCCCACAAAGTATATATATTCTTGATCAGCGCGACGAGCTGAGTTGATTTGGCCCTGTCCGTCTGTCTGTCCGTCTGTCCGTCTGTCCGTCTGTCCGTCCGTCCGTCTGTCCGTCTGTCCGT